AAGCTACTTTATCAATGCTAAGCTACAATATAAAAACAAATTACATCCAAGGAGTTTTGATTATCAAATGTAAAAATTTGATTAAATAATATAAAAACCTGATAATGAGCTTATTTAGATGTTATAAATAATAATTGATAGAAAATTTAAAACTGAAATTCAAAGAATAACAACAGTTATACTAAGATTTATTCCTCAGGACTAAAATTTCATAGGTGGCTGTTCTTTTCTTATAAAGTTACCCTGAAAGTCAGGTTTAAATGTGGATGTGCTAAAATATAATCTGGAATCCTGGTGTGGCACTATAGCATACTGCCAAAAGACAACATTAGCAATTGAAACCGACCAGCTGCTCCTTAGAAACGCTATACAGGGGGTCACTATGAGTAGGAACCAACTCCATGACACTTAACAACAGCAGAGTATAATTTAAACAAGTGAATACAATTTTAAAAAGACTGTAAAGTTTTAAATGTCTTGCATACAAGGATGCTTCAAAAAGTTCATGGAAATATTTCATTATCTTTCATTTTTCCATCAGTTTTTTGAAGTTCTCTCCTCATATATGTAATTCTTATATTTAACTAGATATTGTTTTATAATTTAATCCTTAAAAATAATTCTGTGTAGTATTAATCTCATTTTATAGAATCAGAAATGGGCTCAAAGATGTTAATAAGCAACATTATCAAATAACCTGACAATAACTCCAAGTCCTATCACTAAAAATTCAGTGACTTGCTAAGCTGGAAAATTTCTATTAGACTTAGAAAATAATTTTAAAAAGATCGACCACCTTCCCACTCCCGAAATGCCATTGAAAAGCACCGAATGCAAATGCTTTCTTACCAATTACTATTATCCACAGCATCTCCAAATCCTGGGGTATCAACTATTGTGAGTAGTAACTGAACTCCACCTTCTTTGATTAAAACTTTGGATTGCTCCACCTGTAAGAGTCATTAGTTCAGATGTCAATATTATATATTGTACTGTGATTTCCAACAGGAGCATTTATCAAAATCGATTGGGAAGCTTTTTCCAAGCTAAATCTACCCCCCTCCTTCCTTCTCAGGAGTTCTGGTAGCATAGTGGTTGCAAGTTGGACTGCTAACCTCCAGGTCATATGTTAGAATCTACCAGTCACTCCACAGGAGAAAGATGAGACTTTCTGTTCCCATACAAATGTATAGCTTTGGAAATCCTATACAGGGTTGCTGTGAGTCGGTACCAACTTGACAGCACACAACAACATCACCACTACATTTTCTTTAATATCAATAGATTGTGGATATAAGAAGTCCTAGAAACCTCAAGAAAAGTGCATACATAAATAGTTTGCCATGACCTTATCAAACTCATGTTGGCTTGATGTCTCATACTTTTGTACAGGGAAGGAAACAGGGACTGATAAAATGGTAAAAATCACTAAAGCCATAAAATACTTATAGAATCTAACTGCACAACTAATGACACACATAAACAAAGTGCTTGAATGATTCATTAGTTTACAGACTCATATGTGATTACTCTGACAGGAATACCTAATATTTACATTAAATATTTTCCCAGACTAACTCCATCTAGTTTGGTCTAAATCAATTACTCAAGTGAACTTATGATTACCATTCCCAAATCTTTTTCAACATGTTTGCAATTATTAACACTTGTGTTCATATTTTGGCTACAATCCAAATTCTCTTCTCAAACATGATAGATACTGCCCATGTTCTGGCTAATAAAATCAGCAAAGGTCCAAGTAGTGAAAAAAATGTGTTCTGTCTGATACAGGGAACCTCTATTAACAGTGTTTAAGATCTTCACTTGTATTTAGTATTCTTTTATTTAAAAAAAAAAAAAAAGACTTATTTGCAAGAGCGCACTGGACTTAACAATAACAAAAATAGTAATTCCTGGTTTAAGCAAAGATTTTCTGTAACTATGAATCAAATGGCATATAGATTGTTCATCCTGAACAAATTTTTTTGCTAAATGTAGTTCTCCTCTGTGCCACAGGGTCACTGTAAGTCAGAATCAACTCAATGACACACAACAATAAGGTAAAAGAAATACTGATTGAAATGGAAAAAGGATTAATTCCCCTAGAAAAGGACAGGGTTTCATTCAGTGCACAGGTGTACTAAATATTAAGGCAAGTGGCTCTAGGTATGCTGATAAAATAATTAATGTAAAACAAAAATTATACCCAAACTGCATGCTAAGTGCTATCCCTATCCCCCAAAACCCAACCCATTGCAGCTGAGTCAGTTCTGACTCCTGGGGACCCCATGTGTTAGAATAAAAATGCCTGTGATGTTTACAGAAGAACTTTACCAGGCCTTTCTTCCGTGGAGCCACAAGCTGCATTCAAACCACTAACTTTAGGTCAGTAGCAGGGCTTCAAACTAGTTCTTCCTTGTTCACTGATGGACAAGGAAGTGAAACTGAAACACAATGGAAGTTTTTTAATTTGGTGAACCTGAATGATAACTGGAATAGGTAGACAGCCCCCCCCCCACTCCCCTTGCTAGAAACTTACTCTCCCCTCATAGACAACAAGGGCCACATTTAGTTGCATAGCAACTAAATCTCTTACCCATCATGGTACCAAAATCTACACTTGGCTCTTCCCTAATCTGTTCCTACAGTCACTACCAAGACCCCAAAACCACCCAAGTCCCTTCAACAAAAGTAAAGGAAATAGCTTCAAGCAGCAACAAGTCTTACAAGTGATTATTCAAAGAATGTACAATAGTCACATTTCATACAAATCAACTATTTTGGGGGGGAGACAATTTTTAAAAACAGATTTGACAGAAGAATGACAGACCCCTCTGGGAGGAGCTTTGCCTCCTCTGTCCTACATGATTCGAGGGGGTGCGGATGTGGTGGTGCAGAGCCTAACCCTCACTCACTTCCAATGGACACATGGAGTTTAAGGATGTCTTGCTCTCATCCTACAGCAGCCACAGAATACTGGAAATCTGCAGGGGGGCCGGGAGGCAAATGGGACTCTTAATCTTTTGAGAACTCTTATGCTCTTGGTTAAAGAAGTAGTGGCCAGTCAATGCTAATACCTAAGACAACTGGTGGAACCAGCCATTGGGAGGATCCTGCACTCTGCAGACCGAGGGGATGAGCTTCCTTTCGGTGGGTGGGAACTACATGACTTCTCTGTTGTTGGCATTTTCTTATAGGTATTAGCTGAAGCATGTATTGAGAGTTGAAACTACCAACTATTAAACAAAACAGTCTACAGTATTAATATGTTTCTGCAGTATGAAAATATTCTATCTGCACTGTCCAATACATTAGCCACTAACACACAAAGTCCTCAAAATGTGACTAGTGAGACTGTGTTCAAATTCTTAATTCAAATTAGATTAAATAAACTCAAATAGCCAAATGTTTCATTGGCTATATTGTTAATTGCCTTTGGGTAAGTTCGGACTCTAAGTGCTCCTGTAAAGGGTTTTCCAAGGAGCGGCTGGTGGGTTTGAAAAGCCAATCTTGATGTTAGCTGTCTAGTGTTCTTATGGTTACTAAATGGTTGATGAATATCTATAGCAATCAAGAGCTTTTATTTAAGAAGAATTATTACCAAGACAGAAACTCTGCCATCTCTAAAAATGGGGGTGGGGGTGAGGGGGAGATGCCAAATTTGGATATGTACATCCATGGAAAACTTCTATCTCTTAGATAAATAAGAGGCAATTTTGTTTTAGACTAATGTTCTTCAAGTTGCTTTGAAGTGTATATATATAAATCAACACTGAAAATTCTCAGGGCCCCAAATATATTGTTGTTGTTTAGTGCTGTCAAGTCGGTTCTGACCCATAGCAACCCTATATAAGTTTTTCAAGGAACGGCTGGTGAGCTTGAACCACCAACCTTGCAGTTCAAATGGCTTTGCAGTCTGGCACATTAACCCACAGCACCACACCAGGGCTCCAGGGCTCTTAATATATATATGCTTATTTCACTAATCTGAATATTAAATATAAATCTGTCTTATAGTTTCTGAATTAAAAAAAAAAAAATGAACATCAATATGTATGAGTTCTAGTATTCTCTGATCAGAAATGGCAGCACATTACTTGGGAAAGCACTGTTCCACATCACCTAATACAGCTCAACTTGTCTGGTACCAGGTAACCTTAGTAACAGGAGGTGGCAAAAGATCTCAGAGAAAATTATCAGACTCACCAGCGCGAGATCAACAAAATGAAAACATTTTTAAGTGGTGTTATCTCTTTGGCTTAGGGAATTCACATTTTATTTATTTGGTTGTATTTAAGTCAAAGGATAATTAGGTCAAAATCTAACATCTCAGTATGTCTTGAATTCATCCCTATCATCTTCATAAAAATAGATTTATTAAAACTATCACTGAAGCAAACACATCCAAGCTATCTTTTTACCTAATAATTCTTTTAAATGACATACTACTGTATATTAAAGCCTCTGAAATCTACATAGGGTTGCTATGAGTCAGAATGGACTAGACAGCACTTAACAACAACTACATATTAGAAACTGATGTAAAATGTAACTTACATGAATCACCCGATTTTTCTTCTTTAAAATAAAACTCAGTTCTACAAACTGATTGCTATTGATTTGGTAAGAAAAATGAAGGTTTACATTTTATAGCCTTAGAGAGTCTTTTGTAAAGCTCCTTTGCCTCACTGGCCTCTAGATTTCTGAGTATGCATACAGGGTCAAATCAAAACTCAGCATTATATGGATGAGAGTCAGAGAGTGTAACTGTAAACTAGTGCCATTCACAGGACCCTACTGTATCCTATCATCTGGTTTTGCAAATATCCTCATGGGATCTATGGAAAACAAATTAGTCCAAGTTCAGGAATTCCAAACTTTTCTTAACAAATCTATCCCAAATGGCTATTTTCCCAGGCATTTTACTTTAGTAGGTCACATCAGCATATTTTATGGCATCACTGGGTTTTCTCTATGATTAAATGCATAATTTAATATTGAAGGAATTAATCAAAAGGATTTTAACTCTATTTCTTCCTGAAAAACTCATTAAACTTTTTATAGTTAATTTACAGTGGCCTCTTTTGGCTTCCTAAATTCCACAATTCCAAGGCACTAATTTTTCAATTACTGTTCAGTTTCTCAATCGAAAATAAATAAATTTTAAAACTCCATCTATAACAAATGGACCTTATTGTAAAGCTTCATAAATTGAAGAGTGCTATTTACACTGAACTTTTCTAATCTAACGTCTAAGAGCCATTTTCTGAGATAAACAGATTTAGGTTACTCAGTGATTATTATTTAACTAAATACAAATTGATGCTGTCTTTTGGTGTTACTTAACTATTTAAAATTTGGAGGATAGGGTTAAAACTTAAACTGTCAAGAACTCATCTCTATACATCTTCCTCAAGAAGTAGCATTACAATCAAAGTTCTGCAGTATTCTGCTTTGCTCAAACACAGGATCTATTTCTACTAATGGCTGAAAAGATAAATAAACATCATCCTAACAGCTTCATCATGTCCCGTCCCCCACCCATCCCCCCACTCCCAAAAAAATTCAACAGAAGTAACCAATAGTATACCAATTATTTCTAAAGACTGCCTGCCCTCTCATCAAGATACAGAACTTTACTGGGAAGAAAGCTGATTCAAAGTTGATCCAAAGATTCCAATTCCATCCTCTACTCTTGAATCTCATTCCCCATCACCTTTCATTTTTATTAGCAACACACACCACCAAATCCTTTATCTTTTTCCCTTTCCTGCTCAGATCTCATTCTGAATTAACCCATCTACCTAAGCAGCCTTGATGGTACTGTGGGATACGTGTTGGGCTGCTAACACCAAAGCTGGCAGTTCAAATCAACCAGCCGCTCTGTGGGAGAAAGGCAGGGCTACCTGTTCCTGTAAAGATTTACACTCTCAAAAACCCTATACGAGTA